CTTGAAGATGTATCATGGAAGTGTTGCAGCCTAGAAGACACAAATTTAACTAACAAGTTAAAAGTACATGAGTCAAAAATTAAAAGCAATAATATTCCAAGTAGAGGTTCTAACAGAGGCACAAATCAGAAAAACCTAAATTTTTTTAAAAAAAAAATCTTAATAATAAGGGCTTTTCTTAATTTTATTAATAATATTAAAACAATTTTTACTTTTAGAGGGTTGCCTCTCAAAATACCAATCCTCACCTAGAGAACATTGGATACCATTAGTTCAGAATTCCTGGGTGTCGGACCCAAGTACTCTTAGAGTTTTAAAAGTCATGAATAATTCTGGTCTCTTAACAATTGCTGTCTAGACACCAAGCTCCTTGAGAGTGGAGAATGTGGGTTCGAGGCCTGGCAGGTGTTTGTAAAGGAATGTATAATTCTGTATGAACGTTATGTATGAGTCTAAAATGTGTAATTTTAAGAAATGCTTCTGCTAAGTAATTCTTTTTGTTTGTTTGACTTCTCTGTGAAGGGCCGAGATGGACGGAAAAATGTTGTTCCTTGTGTTCTCTCCATAAATGGAGATCTAGACCGAGGCATGCTGGCTTACCTCTATGATTCTTTTCAGCTAACAGAGAACTCCTTTACAAGAAAGAAACATCTTCACAGAAAGGTGATTTGGGTGTCTCAGAGATCGACTTGGGAAATGAAAAATAGATATTTTTCCTTTTTAAATGTTAGTGTTCTCAAGTCACTTTCTTATAAACCAAATAATGTATTTCTGTTAGTACAAGTAATTTAATTATTTCTCATGCTTTTGGAACTTAATCTTAGCAAGAATAGGTTTTCAAAACTCATAAAAACTCAAACTCGTTGCCATCAAGGTAGAATCCTTAGCTGATCCTCTAGCTGGTTTTTAGGCTGTAAATCACACAGGAGGAGATTGCTCTTCTTGCTTCTGTGTTGTCCCTGGTGATGTCAAATCGTCAGAGAGGCTTGACCTTTGACTTCAGTGTCACATCCTGTGGTTTAGACCCCCCAAGCTCTCTTAGAGATTCTCAGAGAAAACCCCAAGGCATTTCTGTCTGATCATGGGACAGACAGTGAGCTCTCTAGCCCCTGAATCTTTCCACTGATAACTTACATTTGTATCAGAAGCTAGCTGGTGAATAGGAGCGTAAGCAGGACAGCACCAGCGAGATCAATACCAGCAGTCTTGATCTCCTCACACTAGGCCTTGTTCCAGGTAAGTGACCCTGAGAACAGAGAAGCTGCATTAGAACCTGGACCAGAGGAGGGGGCTGAAGCTGTAAGAGGGAAAAGCGTGTTCTACTTTTGTAAGGTAATAGGAAGGTGAAGGAACTTGAAGTGATTTGAAACAGCAGGGAAGAAAATGGTGATAAGAATAGTAGTCCTCAGAGACTGGGCAGCCTTTGAAGGATGTTTTGTTCATACCCTGTCTTTTCTCAGCATATTAGGCAAGGTTAGTAGGTCAAAATATAGAGATGTGGTAGTATTTTTTAAGTGGCAGGAATTTGGAAACGTTCTATTTTCTCTGCATATGAAAGGAAGGTACCCCAAATCGGAATTTTACAAATAGTGAAGGGTACCACATTGGCATCGGCGACTGTGAGTGGGTTTAACATTCTCCAAAGTCGAATGAGTTATCAAGCTGTGCTCACTTAGCTTCATACGGGCCTGTTGTTTTTGTTCCTGCAAGTCAAGTACGACTCAGAGTGACCCCGTGAGCAGCAGATCAGATCCCTCTCCTGTCCTGTGCCACCTTCACCATTTCTGATGCACTGAGCCATTGTTACAGTCACGGTGTAAATCCATCTCGTGGAGAATTTCTTTCCCTTTTTCCTCTCTCCTGCTGACTCGCCACCTGTCCAAGCCTCATGTCCTCCTCCAAGAACTAGCCCCTCATAACAACATGCCTGAAGTGTGTGACACAGAATTTTACCACGCTTGCCTCCCAAGGAGCACCCAAGATTGTACCTCCTCTAAAATATTTATTTGGCATTAGTGGGCTTTTCAGTACCATCCTCCGACACCACAACTCAAAGGCATGGATTCATCTTCTGTCTTCCTTATTCACTGTCCAATTTTCAGATGCATGGGGAGTAATTGAAAAGCCTGTAATGTAGGGAAGTCTAATTATAGACTAGTTCTGAAGATGGGAGTTAAAAGATCTGTGTAGCAAACAAACAAGAAAGGTCCTTTCTTTCTCTTAGACTCCACATGTAGGTACTTAGCAAAGTTGACTCCACCTTGAAAATGACTCCTGAGTGTGACCTTGTCTCACCACTTGTTCTTTACCACCTTGGTCTTAGCCACCTGCCAACACACCGCGCCCTCTCCTAGCACTGCCCTTTCCTCTGTGCGAGCCTTTGGAAATGTCCAGGCTATCTTACCTCTTGCTCAAAGCACTGAGGAAGCTCCTGAGGGCATGTGGAGAGAGAACCAGAGGACTTGCAATATTTTGCAGAACTCTCTCCTGTCCTGACCCGACCTGTTGTTCCCCACCTCAGTCCGCTCCAGCAGCACTGTCCTTCCTGTGTCCAGTGCTTGCTCGTGCTCCCATCCCGCACCATTTCCCTTTGCCTGGAATGTTCTTCCATTGGGCATATGTCTTACTCTCTCATCTCCTTTCAGTCTTCTCAAATGTCACTTCAGAAGGAGATTTCTCTCACCAACTTAGTCACAAGTAGCCCAACTCCCTATCCTTTGCCAGCATTTTGCGTTTCTTTCTCCTCTTCTTTTCTTAGAACCTACGACTTTCAAATGAATTACTTACCTATTCTTTTTCACCATGATTCGTTATTATCACTGTTTGCTTTCACCATGAGGGACAAGAATTTTTGTCCCTAGCACTTAGAACTATTTCTGGTACCGAAACCCCACTGCCACTGAAGTCAATTCCGACTCATTACCACTGCCCATCTTTCTCCTGTGGAGCAGCGGGTCAAATCAAACCTCCAATCTTCTGGTTAGGAGACCTCCGAAAAACACTGTGCCACTGAATTATCTTCCAATAGCCATTCAGTGTTTTGTTAAGTGGTTGGATGAATAAGAAGAGTAGTAAATTTTGGTAAGAGAAAGTCCAGAGAATAAACCATATTTTAGCTCAGACTGAGAAGGGAAGGAAGTAATAATACCAGGAAAGAAAGGCACTTTTATTGAGGGAAGATGGAGTTGTCAGAAAATGGGCAAGCAGATAATTTATCTTGGCAGAACATCTGATTGGAGACTCTCTTAATTGGAGCCAAGGAAAGACAGCTGACTTCATCATTGAGGTCAGCCAGCTTTCCTTTTTAACACTGGAAATCTGAACTGTTTAAGAAAGTTTAAGGTTGTTGTTTCTTGTGGGATATTTAACCAATATGTGCTGCGTTTCCCCTCCCCTCCGCATTTAATTGCCTTAGGTGCTTAAACTTCACCCTTGTCTGGCCCCGGTTAAAGTTGCTGTGGATGTGGGAAGAGGCCCAACAGTGGAACTACGACAGGTAGGTTGAGTGAACTTTGAATGTTAGGATTTGGCTTATAACCATCATTCCAAGCAAATAAGTAGCTTGCCATTTAAAATAATATTTTGATTCATTTGCAGTTTAAAAATAATAAAATAATGAATAGTGGGTAAATACTGTGGTTAATTGCAGATAATTTGAAACACAATATTCTAAAGGAGCTAAATGCAATCCAGTGGACTCTACTTTTAAGGTCATGGCCAGCCATAGTTCCAGTTTTAAGAATATAGTTTTCTGTATGCTGGGCAGATAATCTGAGAAGCTAAATTATATGAAGAAGAAAGTGGCATCAGGATTGGAAGAAAACTCAATAATCTGCGATATGTTTGCAGAAAACAAAAGAGGATTGGAAGCACTTACTGATGAAGCTTAATGACTGTAGTCTTCATTATGGACTACAGCTCAACATAAAAAAAAAAGTCCTCACAGCTGGGCTGATAAACAACGTGGTAAATGGAACCTTAGTTGATCTTGTCACATTTCCCCATATAGTCCTGTTCTTGGTTTATTTGCTCAGCATACAGACTGGATAAGGGTAGTGAAAGGATATGACCCTGACACACACCTATCCTGATTTTAAGCCATGTAATATCCTCTGACTTTGTTCTTTAAGACTGCCTGTCTGTACACAGGTTCCACATGAGCACAGTGAGAGGTGTGGAGTTCTCATTCTCCTCATTGTTACCCATAATTTGTTATGTTCCACTCAGTTAACTGCCTTTGCATAGTCAGTAAAATACAGGTAAGCATCTTTCTAGTGCTATCTTTTCAGCAAGCTGCATTTGATAGCAGCAATGTTACATTTCATTCTATGTCCTCTACTGAATCCAGCTTGAATTTCTTGCTGTTCTCTGTTAATGTGCCATTTTTTTTTACTTCCATGTGATATTAAATAAATTGTTTGATAATGTCTACATTCTGTTGGATTTCCTTTTTTTCTCAGAATGGGCAGAAATAAAAATCTCTTCTTTAGTGCCAGGCAGCTCGCTGTATGAGATTTCTTGACGTAGATGAAGGAGAGCTGCCGGCATTGCATCCATTTGCTGAAATATCTAAGTTGATCTCAATTAAAGATTTATTTCTTATTTTTCACCAGTGTCTTCAGTGCATCTTGGACTTTAGTTCTTGATCATATGATATCTCCTGATATTGTTGAACATTGATCAGTTCTTTTTGATACAGTGACTCCTATAGATTTTGGTTCTAGATGTAGGATTTATTATTTTTTTTATTTTTTAAATTTTTTATTGTTATTTTAATGAAAGTTTACAGAAAATTTGGATTTTTATTCATTCATTGTTGTATATTTTCTCCCTCCTCCCCCCACTCCCAAGTCCATTTTTCTATGCATCTCTTATTCTGGACTGTTGACATGAAGATAATACCTAATTTCTTTTAGACAATTCTTTCCCTCATTTATTTAAATGTAATGTTCATAATTTATCCCCTTTTTTCTTAGTTTCTCCCCAAGCCCCATATCAGTCCTGTCTTATAACAGTGGCATTATGCAGTATTTGTCCTTTTGTGAGTGAGATATTTCACTCTGCATAATGTCTTCCAGGGCCACTCATTTTGTATAATATTTTACTAGTTCCTTTTTCAGTGCTGCATAGTATTCCGTTGTGTGAATATACCACACCTTCTCTATCCATTCATTTGTTGATGGGCACTTGGATTTCTTTCTATCTCTTTGCTATTGTGAATAACATAGCAATAAACATGGATGTGCATGAAGCTTTAAAGATCTTCATTTGCTGATGTGGCACAACTCAGAATGAGAGGAAATAGCTTTAGGCATTCAATAGTAATCAGAAGGTGGAATGTACAAAGTATGAACCTGGGAAAATTAGAGGTTGATAAAAACAAAGTGGAATGCTTGAAGATTGATATTCTAGGAATTAGTGTAATGATATGGACTGGTGTTGGCCACTTTGAATAGAACAATCATATGGTCTGCTATGCTGATAATGAATGACAAATTGAAGAGGAGTGGTATCACATTTTTTTGTTGTTGTTGTTGTTGGGTGGACTGTTTTTTTTTTTATTATTATTAAATTTTATTAGTTTTAATGAACATTTACAGGGATTTTGGGTTTTCATTCCTTCATTGCTGC